TTAGCTAGCCTTTGAGCAAGTGTACAGATTTCGAAACAAATTTGATGCGACATAAGGGAATATTTTAGAACAAAATCCTATAAATATCTTCTAATTGTGATAGTTTTAATTAATACAATTAAATTGACTCTCTGTACCATGGTCCTGTAAGCGAACCTTGTCTCCTCGATAATCCAGATGTGGCTGTTGCCTACTGGTAGGTCCAGCTTTGCGCTGCCTCTCAAATGTGGTTCACCCTGTGGGCCCAGTGGTTCCAGCTGCTGGTTGACTGCCATGTGCTTGCTTGCTGTGAAAGTGTGAGGTATGTAAAGCCATCTGCTCAGAGCTGCTGTCCATCTACAATCCATCCTCACACTATAATATCCAGTTTTCCAAATGTGGGTCTTGTTGTACAGCAGTGTCCCTTAGGGGTTGTCTAATGGGATGGGGTGATTTTCGGGGCGTAATAATGGATGTGGGTGTTGAGTGAGTCCCATCCCACTTGGTCTTTCTCTTGTTTCAACCTTTTCCAATTCTGACAGCCCCATATTTTTAGTTTTTTGATCTCACGCATTTGTAATGAAAACACACTGAATTAGTATTTTGCAATGATGGCAAAGCAGTGGAGGATGGACTGACCTGCACGCAATTACACCCAACAAAACTTTCAGCAATTAGCTTGTTAAGAGCATGTGCCCACATCATGTCAATGAATCAGAGAGAATCTTAGAATTTAAGTTCGGAAATCAATTCCTGAATCTGACCACCACTGATAAAAGTGCAGTACAGTGACCACGGGCTATAAATCACTGTCAACTGGAAATAATAACTTGGATCAAATAAAGTATTAAAGCTGGCAACCTCCTCAAAGGATCCCTTATCGAAATAAAACAACAGCTCTTTCCTTGAACATTGCCCTGAACATCCACTTCTGCTCTAATCGAGATAAGGTGCATTCAAGCTGCAAACACTGCAGGGCAGTTTTGAGATCCCTGCTTGCCAAGGAAGAAATGTTCAGTCAGTGTGATTTCTGAGTGAAGACACAAGGGAAGGAGCTGCTATCATGGTTGTATCAGATGAGGTGCTCTAAGGTTTAATCAAGAGGGGACTAGATGATGGGAGTGCCCTGGGGTTACAGATTATTGACTGTAATTTTGTACAAATTAGATCATTCAGACCTATCCTTAGCAAGTGAAATGTGAATAACCTTACATTATTATCAAGCAAGAAGCAAAGACAATCAGATCTGCATAACAGATGCAACGAGGCAAAGCACACAGACCAGCAATAGTAAAGTTTGTTATGGATTAAAATAGAATATGTTGGTCATGTAGCAACCTAAAAGGACATGTTGAAAACCAGCATACATTCATACAGTATATCATGTGTTAGCACCGTGATGAAACATGGCACCGCGTGAAACATGAGTGGAAGTCCAATTCTTTTTTTAAGCGTTGATCAAAATGGACATTTATGAACTAACGGGTAGGAACCCAAGTTAAGTTTTTGATAAAGTGTGTGAGTGTTTTTATTCTGCGGAAGGTGCAGGATAGTTTTCATGTCAAACATCCATTTGGCTTAAGAAGATCTTTCTCCTTCTGTTGTCAACAAAACTTGTGACAACAGTTGGAGACTCCAGTTAACGTCCATGCCCTGAAGTTTTAGCCATGTCAGCCTAAATTAAGAGGGTAAATCTGTTTAAAAACACGTCCAGCCCTTCATTAGCCTCTCCGCGGTGTTATTAGCACCAGACACCATCATTTAAAGCGTAAACTGCCGCAGCTGAATCAGCTTTGGGGACCAGCTAGCCTGTTAGCATCGCCACACAATGCCAGCTACTCCGCGGAGCTTTCGCTGCGGCGAGCTGCGGTAACAGCGAGAATGTCGGTACTTATGGAGGAAAAACATGTCCCGGTCCTCACCTTTTTCATCCGCGGAGCCTCGGCGACGGTGCCGTCACGGTTGACAAAAGCCTCCCCGCCGTTCTGCTGCGGGTCCGTGCGCTTCATAGCCGACGTCTGCGGCATCTTCGCGGGGTTCGGGGTGAGCAAGCCCGGGCTGCAGTCCCCGGCTTTCACGGAGGGCTCCGCTGTCGGGGAAGCGGCGGCGGAGGAGCCGGCCTCGTGGGGGTCGCTCCGGCCGAGGCTCTTGCCCTCCGACGTGGGTGTCACAGGAGACTCGGCCGGCAGACCTTTGCCGCTGGGGACGTCTTTGAGTTCGACCTCTGCCATTTTCACTGCCACAACCTGGACTGACATCGCTGCACTTCCACAAAGTCTTTTTTCCAACACTGGTGGAGAGTCGAGCGGATGTGAACGTAACGGAGAGACTGCGGCCGAGGTGCATTGTGGTCCCCGTAGTTCCTCTTAGTGTCTGGAACCCTCCCACCTGTAGGCCACCTTTAATACCAATGATGTAAACACGACTGACATTTTAAAAGTGTTTATCATTTTGCTGTGAAAACAACAAAACCACTGACACGTGTATCCCAACCAGAGGACAAACACTGTTATCTGACATTTCAACTACATTGCCATGCAGGTAGAGCTGCGCTGCGGAGTGCATCATGGGAAATGAGGTTCATAATAAAAAGGGCAACTACAAAACAAACACGGTTCATGCCACATAATGCGGTCCACTCAGAGCGATCACACCTCCAAGTTCTACATCTCCTTTAAACGCTAATTGGTCATTTTATTTCTTTATCATCAATTTCATACATCTTTTATATTGCACTCTATGAAGGGCATCCTTTTACATAGCCAATTTACCAATTCCCAACACCCTTAACCAATGTTGACCCAGAATCATTTTAATATGAGAAACTGTAATCCATTGGCTGTATCTGCACAACACACAGCATCTTAATATTACAGTGCAGTGGATGTGCAGTGACATTAGAGAAAATGGGACCAGGAGTAAGGTCATATTATGTAAAAATGAAGAAAAGGATTACACTGACACCAAGTGGATGCCCATGATGTTCAGGAAACTGCATGTAGAGGTGGGAAATGAACAAAATCAAAGATTTGTTTTTATATATCCAAATTTTATTTTCATGTCTCAGGTGACATCTGTAAAATAGCATCATTGAAATCAATGTAAAAGTATGACATTTTATGAATGGCTGATGACTTATGTCAGGATAAATGGCACTCAGAGCTCCTTTGTAGAAGACATGCATCCAGGGACTTTTAATTTGTTCTCCATCACATATTAAAATTAACAGTGAACATAAATGTGCATGAAAAAAATTGTTACTGAGCAAAACTCCAATAATTACATTAATGGAACGTTGTTGCATTTTGCACAGGTCCATTTTTTGCAAATGAATTCAAGCACATGTCGGGAGTATGTCCATTACTGCAGACATTCATTTTACAACAGATAAGAAAATAGACAAACACAAAAAAGCAGCATACAAGCTGCAAAATGTTACTGATGCTAAAGAACTAAATCCACACACACTGTATTTACATTCAAGCTGAATGGGCATATACCCTTTGCAATCCACCTGTTATGAGGTATATTTTAACAAGGCTACAATGCTGGTGCATTCTCAAATAAAAAACTAAATCAGAAAACCAAACAATGTTAAAAATGCAACTATGGATTGTATCATGTGGTGTAACAGCATCGCATCAATGAAAATACATCATGTTGCCAATGTGTAGATAGAAATTGTGAAAATGTCCAAAAATATGCATTTATTGTCAAAGAGAAGCACTTCCCCTCCCCCATGTGTCCCTCAAACAGCAGTCCTTACGTTGAGGTGATATTCCAACAAGTGTAGGCAGCACAGAGAAGAAGAAAAACCCATCCAATTGCATTCTTCTTTTGTTGTAAATTACAATGCATCAGTCTTCAAATATCCACAGGATGTTCACACCAGAGAGGCCGAGATTTACTCTCCTGAAGAAAGTATGAAAGGCAGTTTAATTATCCATCCGCCAGAAGCCAAGCAAAGTCAAACCAATACTTTCAAACAAAAAGCAATCTGACCTTTTGGCGAAAACAAATCAATATTTAATAATTCCCTACTTTTTGGCGTGCTGGTTATTTATAGGATTTCAGTAGTAGGATTACTCACCCCAGCATCCCTGACTCCTTGGTCTTGATGACGTAGAGAAACATGAGGATCGTATGGAACAGGTTGTTCCGGCCCTGTGATAGAGATCAAGGTAGGTTCAGATTGCTGCAGTCAAAGTTTTGCTGCAGAGCAACACACCCTGTTTATGAAGGACATGTCTGTTCTAAGCTTTACAGCAGTTACACACTGCATGTAGTTGATAACTTGACTTGTAATGTAGAGGCCAACAATCTAGACAGCAAACACCACATTTTTCAGTGTGGGTTTCAGTTCAGTTAGATTTTTGGCCAAAAGTCATAAAAATCACACTTTGGCATTACAAGATATCGTCAAAATCGCAAAGTTAGAAAACTGTGAGACAGACCAAAATTAAGGCATAATATGAACCGTTTTCCAAGAGCCTGAAAAATAAAGAAACCATTTCTGAGAGTGAGAACACAGAAGCTGCTTTCAGACATGTAAGCAGTGGAATTTAAACACCATGCCCTGCTTCCTTCTTCCATGTCCTCAGGTGATATCCCTAGCCTTAATGTTTCAGGCATTTTCAAGGTCTTGTGAACGTGTCTGACCCAGTCTATCTCCTGCTGTGTTCTTTAAATGTGTGAAAGGCTAAGTTCATGTCTGAAAACTGCTCAAGTGTTTGTTTTTTACCTTGGGAAGACTGTAGATGTGTCCTTGGTAGATGAGCTGGTAGTGTGGAGGAGTGGTGCTGCTTTGGTGGACGCAGAAGAGGCTCTCTTTGGTTACATCTACAAAGTAGTATAAAGAGGAGACAAAAACTGAAACTCCACAAGGAAGTGAAGTATAACCCAATGGAAAGCAAGTAGATGCAATGTATCAAAGATAAGACACAGGACATCACAAGGGTTTGATTGTTCTTTCCTTTATGTGCGTTTGTGTGTATTTACCAGGTTTGTCTGGGGTGTGGCTGAAGTGCTGTGAAGTAAACGTCTTCCCATCTGGATACTTTGGGTGGGGGGGGAGTCTAGAGTCCAAGTATGTGCAGAACATGTGCATGAGGATCTGAGGGAACAGACAAACACAGTGACCTGACTATAGGGGGCAAAATATTAGGCAGTATTGGTCAGCGTAAGGAATTTTACTAGGGAGCCAACCAGACTGTAAATGTGACAACTGGAGTGGAGACCCCGCAGTCAACAGACTTTGTAAACGTCACAGTGACTTTCATAGTGTATAGGTTGTTTGTAAGTTTTGTTGTCTAATCCAAACCTGCAGAGCTTGTTTTCTTATTCATATTTATTTTAGCGTCTGCTTAGCCCCCAGTCATTGTCACTTTGTGGACAGAAAAAAAATACAACCTTTTTCACAGTTGCGAGTAAATAATTACATTTTATATTTCTGAATCCTAAAAAGAACAAATATCCAACATCAGCCCAAATGAAATCCATCCAAACAAGCCTCATCCAGTGCATTTAATATAATAATAATGAGATAATGAGACCTCTATTCTTTAAGATAGCAAACTGAAAAGTTAAGTTTTCAACAGTAGGTTAGAAAAACAAGGCATCTGAAGACTTCACCTCAGCCTCTGGACATCCAATTTGAATAATATTAACATTTTAGAGGCCACACTATCAATTTGTCTAGAAAATGATAAATAGATTAAGTGATAACAAAAATAAACATAAGCTGATCCTGTGAAGGGACTAAATTTACTTGGTATTTTTATGCATGACTAGATCTGTAAGTGTGTGTGCGCGTGTGTGGACTCACAGCACAGTCAGTGGGAAGGTCTGTGTCCCACTTCCTGTTCTTCAGATCTCCACCCCTGTTCCAACGGAAGGAGCTCATGCAGCCGCTGTGAGCCAGCTCTAACAAAACAGAACCCATTAACATACACATCAATCTCTTTTATTCATGAAATAACACTGAAACAAACATAAAACATTAGGAGCCAAATGTACAATTACATCTGAACCTTTGTAGTTTAGGTAATTTGTGTATAAATGGTGACATCAATATTAAGTCTAACCAAGACTTGGCACTTTAATATAGAATCCATCATATTATGTCACATTAATTCTGCTGAAGCTCAGAGCCTGAATAACATACATAAGAAATAAATGTGTCTCTCTCTCTCACTCACACTCACACACACACACACCCNCCCCCACACCCACACACACAAAACATCATATTAGTCACAGAGACTTCAGGCACCTCAACACACACATTAGCAATCTTTTAGTCAAACGTACCTTTTATCTGTTCCACGAGATATTCCTGGTTGGGTGTGACGTCCAGGTACTGGACAATAGAGTTCATGGTGGGGATGGATGAGGCTTTCATCACTGCTGCCTGCTTCAGGCTGCTTATACTGGCCTCTGGTGGTGGAAACAAGTAAAACCAGTGAAACTCCAAAATGACAAGCAAAACACTGTACACTGAAATTACAATAATAATTAATTTAGATATCCAGCAGAAAATCAAGCAAGCAGTTAGTTCTCTGAATTATTTATTCCTTGATCTAATATCACTTATCTAACACATGGTTTAAGCCTGATTTTCTGTCTTTGGTCCTGCAGGAACCGCACTCCCTTTATGAATGAAACAGCAGTTTTTCATTCATACTTTGCCATGATCCCCGTTCTTGGCAGATGTTTTACCTCCTATCTGGAGCTCAGGGCAGCCCATCCTCCTGAGCTGGCTGTTCACAGAGTCTATTTCCTTCACCAGAGGGACCAAGATTGTGTCACTAATCCACTGCAAAATAAACAGATACTTATTAACTCAAATCAAATTTATGAAATATTTTCGTGTATTTTGGAAGTGACAATAATTTAAGTTCCTCAAACTTGTAGTTCTGTAAATATGTTTGAAACTCACATTCCTAAGCTTTGCTGTCCAGCTGTCGATGCGGTCCACTACCGGGCGACTGGTTGTGATTCTGGCCCACACCTTCGTAACAGGAAGGGAACAAGATGTCAAGTCATGCTAAACATACATACCTCTCTGGCACCAACAGACTTAGAGACCAAACCACCTTTTTGTGATCAAGATATTACAAGTTACCATACAATGGTAAAGTACAGACCTCCTCTGCAGCCTGTTTGGAACCCAGGTCTGTTTCATCCTTGTGGGCAGATGGGGCCTGAGAGCGGCAGGCTGGCTGGTACAGGAATTTCCTCAGACTCTGAGCGTAATCCCCCACAGAGCGGTTGTAGTTCCAAAATGTTGGACTGTGGTTCGGAGACACAGACTCTGGACTTCCTACACAGGGCATCAGTTAAACACTTTAGTTGAAAGGTTTAATTTCATTGCA